CTTCTACTGTGGTGTAGTGTTGGATGCATGCTGTAGAGCTCCATGCTGCCCCCTACAGTTTTGGAGAATATTGGCTCACCGCAGAGACGAGCCGCACAAACCATAAACGCTGCGAGTTGTGAAGCGCGTTCCAGCCGCGAGCCGCATCACCGCGCGGAAAGTGAATGCGTCAAGCATAAACCAAGCTTTACTGCTGGCAGGGAGGAGCGAGAAGCCACTGGGGCAGAAGGACTCGCTGAGCGAAGCTCGTCGACCTCCGTTATGTCTAGGAGGGACGCCGCCTCATCCTAGTTTTCGCTGTCAGTGACGTCATCCAGCCGGTTGAAGCCAGCCGGCTCCTGACCGGCGTCGAAGAAAACCAAAGCCTTGTCCAGCGGGTAGGAGTCAGCCACCGGAAATTCTTCGTCGGCGGCGGGAGTGAAGTACTCGACCCGGCGAATCTTCTCCGCCACGGGCAGAGCGGCACAGAACGGGCACGAGGCCTGCGGGGTCAAGGCCAGGCCAGCGTGGTGAGCCCCGAGACAGACCTCACACTTAGCGTGCAGGTCGCCGCTGGAAATGGAGCCCGTCTGGCAGGTCGGGCAGGGTCTGGTGTCGCTGGACATGGCTGGTAAGTCGTCTTCGGATAATTTGCTCTTTTGAGATAATATTTGCTCTTTAATAAAGCTCTCAAGCTTGGCATGAAGAGAAAAAGGGGAATAAGAGCCATTGGAGGTGAGCAGTGGGGTCACTGCGGTTATATACCACGAGGGGGCCCACTATTGGTGGGCGTACATTTAAGCTCTTCATGATTGGCTGATGCGGAGATCATCCTTCCAATAGCAGCTAGCTTAAGGGCTAAGACTAGACGAAATAGAACAGACGAGAGCAGACGGAAGCAGCAGAGGGAGCGACACAATTCCCATGTGTAGCTCACGGGTGACGATGGATGGAGATATCGCGTTAGCGTTCACACTTGTTTAATCTTTTATTTTAATTCTGGTGCCATGCAGTTTTTTTATACTTACTCAGTATGCTTATGGATGTGTGTGTGTGTGTGTGTGTGTGTGTGTGTGTGTGTGTGTGTGTGTGTGTGTGTGTGCAGTGGCGGCTGGCCAGTAGAGGGCGCCGCCCTCCCAGTTTTTCCGTGTTTTTAATTTTTATTTAAAAAAATAAATAAATAAAATTAACAATAATCACATATTCTAAGTTAATTGTGTGTTTTGTAACAAAAATAAATCATATATATATATATATATATATATATATATATATATATATATATATATATATATATATATATATATATATATATTGGTCTCTGCCGGTCTCTGCCGATCTCTGCCGAGCGGTGGAGGCTGTGTGCTGTTTTTCAATCGCCCGAACAGGACGAGACCAGCTGTCCAATTGCTGACAAGAATATCAAAGGGTAGGAATGGGAATGTATCCAATCAGCGTCGACGTTGTTTCAGAACGTTTCAGAAGCATGATGGGCGATGGAGCTACCGCCAAAGGATTCGTTGGTGTTCGGTAGAACTCGGCAGAGTCGTTTTTGGTCGTGATGCAGATGTAACATGGACGCCGCCGGTGACTACAACCAGCATGGATACCGGATCTCAGCAGCCACTGAATTCAGTTCAGTCTCTTCTCCAGCATCCGTTCGAGAGGAGAACTATGGTGGAAAAACTTAATGTCAAAGAGCTTGGACCAGATCAGCCCGACGTAAAGATAAGCCAGCAGGAGAAGGAGAGAGGTAAACTGTACACACTAGGCTTCTCCCGAAATTGGTACACCAGGAAGGCTAGGCTAGCTGGATGCAATCACGCTAATGTGTTATTTTGCTTTCCGTGTTTGTTATTCAAAACGGCTGGGACAGATAAGGCATGGATGAGTCAGGAGTTACAGACATGAAACATTTTTCTGAGGAGGTGAAGAAACACGAGTCATCCCGGGCACACATGGACAACAACACGGTGAAGCTAGCCATGCTAGGCAGCAGAGCTAACGTTGCCATGCAGGTAACAACAGCAGCTGGTGCAGAGGTAAGCTGTACATTACATTTCTGTGAACAAGACAATCAGAATCAGAAATCCTTGGTTGTCCCACAAACCGGGACATTTGTTTAATAACATGTTTAATGTGCAATAACTGTAAAAACTAATTTCAACACACATACTTATTATACATATTTAATCACGTAAATGTGTATTTCATGTAAATTTGTACATACATCAATCTGATTCCATTTTACTTGTTACACTTCTGCTGCAGCAAACAAATTTCCCAGCTTTTGGGACAATTAAACATTTCTGATTCTCAATTAGATGTTTTTACCTCAAATGTAAAAACATCTGATTGAGAATCAGAAATGTTTTATTGTCCCAAAAACTGGGAAATATGACATTTGTAAGAGGATACTGATGACATTATTTCCTATAAAAGTGTTTCCTATGTACTTATCTGTTGTTTTTTATTTATCATATGACAGGTTTTTCACACCATCCTGAGCCATGCAAAAGAAGATTCTTGTCACCACACCCATGACCACAGCCGAATCAGAAAGGTGCTTTTCTACTTTAAAGAGGATTAAGACTTTCCTTGAGGAACACCATGACACAGGATGGGCTGAATGCTCTTGCCATGCTCTCCATGGAAAAAAAGCTTGTCACAAACATTCCTGACTTCAATATAAAGCTAATCGAGAGCTTTGCCACTCAGAAGGACAGAAGGGCAAAATTTCTGTACAAATGAGGTATCACACACACACAAATGCATCCTCTTGATCTTTGTATAAAGTTGACCTTGGCACAACACTCCAGAAATATTTAACAGTGTAAATTTCTGGAATTTTGTCTAAGTGGTGTTTACTACCATTACTGTAACAGTGACCTGCTCGTAATTTTTGGTGTTCACTCAAATGTTGAAATTAAACAAAATGTTTTTGTTACTTGCCTCTTGCATTGCCTATTTACCATTTATGGTCATGTTATTTTATGTGCAATTTAATGCAGTATTTTTCAACCTTGTTCTGCAAGGCAGCGTGCTAATAGTCAGACACACCTGGATTAATCAGTTTGTCCAATGATGTAAGACAGGAAATAAAAGAGCTGTGCTTAATTCAGGAAATAGTGAAGTTGTGCACAAAGCTCAGAAAGCACAAGTTTGTTTAAAAATAAAAAAATTGCACAGCCCCACCAAAAATATTTTTCACCAGCCGCCACTGTGTGTGTGTACATATGTATATGTGTGTGTACGTGTATGCATATATGTATATATATGTGTGTGTGTAAATGAACATGTGAGTGGGTAATACATGTTCTTATGTGTTTTTTATGTATTTTTATTCTCATTTATTGTAGTAGTTGTATGTTTTAGAGAGCGAACATCTATCGAAGCTAAATTCCTTGTAAATGTAATTTTACTTGGCCAATAAATCTGAAATCTGATAATCTGAATCTGTTAGCAGCTGAAACACATCCTCACGTGCTTGTGGATATCAAATACTGTATATGAAAACTTGACTGTAGTAATAAGTAAAGGTTATCAGCTGTAGGTTTAGTGTGCTCATAGCAAACGTGACAAAAGAACACAAAACACATTTCTCTTTATGGCCTATATAGTTGTCATCATCAACGTAACATGATTTACAGAATACATGTGACCAACTAACATTTCTCATTCTACCACTGAACAGTGAACCAATCAGATCTTAGCTCAGGTGAGAGCCAGGCGTTTCCCGTCATCCCCTAGGTTTTGCAGGTGGAGAGCTATTGCAGCACCTTGCTCCAAAATCTGCAGCCGCCTTGGTCTCACGAGGTTATCGTTGCCTACGTATGCATGACGTCAGAGCAAGTCGGCATCAAGTCGGACACAAATCTAACCGGCATGCACTGCGCGCCGATCACCGGTGATCGAATCTGCGCAGAACTGGCTCTTCTGGAGCACAGCCATACTCTTGTTTCACTTTGTTGCATCATCCCACCCACCAGGCATTTAGAGTGCCCTGATTGGCCCACAAAGCGGAAAAAGCTCTGTGATTTGTTCACTAAGCAGATAGAGCACTATGATTGGCCCACCATTATGGACCAATCACAGCTCTTTATGTGTTTGAAACCCCTCTAGAGAGCTGTGATTGGCCAGCCAGAATGCTGTTGGGGCTGCAGAGGTTCCAGTGGAGCATGCCGAGACCAAACTTTGCAAAGCAAGAATTTAGTCTAGTTCACTAGGCTAGGACTAGTCTGCAGTCCCATCGGATACTGTGCTGATCAGCTGTCTCCAGCCAGCTTCAACATCTTCACCCTCATTTCAGTCTCTACAAACACAAGAGTCACAGGACCGAATCTGTACAGACCATGAATCACCAACTTCCTGACCAGCAGAAGTAATAGGTGACGTTTTAGAGGTTTGTCTACCAGATTCCCCAAGGTTGTGTTATTTCTTCCCTTTTATTCTCCCCGTGTTAAAATACTACAACCATCAGTGTGTCAAGCTCCAGTGGCAAGGAAAAGAGCAGAGTGCAGTACATTATCCATTTTGTGGAGTTTGCCATCTGGTCACCACACTTCAGGACTTAAACCTCCAAATCAACTTAAACCTTTTGAGGTGCTTCCAGTTGGCTTAAGGTTGTGGTCCATCAGGACCAAAACATTCCTCTCTGCAGCTGGACCACCAATAGATGCAAATCACAAATTTGCATAACGTTTTTGTACAAATTCAGTTCTCTAATTTAAAAATAAAGATTATATTAAGCACTAAAATGCATGCAATAGGCCTTGGGGACGTCGCCCACAGAGGGTTTCTCCCAAAAGTCTCCAAACATAATCAGACTCTCATTCTTTTAGTCTAAGTTTCACAAACGGAAGGCAGGTCTCCTTATTGATTTTCAATCAGATAGGTGCGTGCTGAGTCACGTGACTTGAAGCGCACTATAAAGATGGGTCTCCCCGTGGTCCCATTTTAGACTCACTGGGGACTTGGAGTTGAGCTGCATTAAGTACGTTTAGGCTTTCAAGCTTATCTCCACTATTATCCATATCTTGTGTTGACATTTTATTGTGTGTACGCAGTAAATGTTATCTGGACGTGACAAGTCTTTAACTACTAGCATAAATCTGATTTACCGTACGTAGCGCAGGGTTAGCAATCTCAGACGCCAGGCAACTTTTTCGCCCCTTTTTTTTCCTTCCTATTAATTTAAGAGGTCGTTTGAGTCGCTACATTTGTCGAAGGGGTATGTATAAAAGTTGGACAGGATTAGGATTGGAAAGTTTAACGGGAATAGTTACTGTTCTGTTAATTGAGGCCTTTTTAACTGGGACTGTTTTAATTTAGGTATTTTGTAACGCGCCTGACTAAAAACCGTAAAATAAACGTCACTTGCGCGTTTTTGCCATATGCTTAACAAATGGCGTTTATAAATGCTTCTAAATGTTAAAAGTATTTGGTAATAAATGTGTAAACCAGTAAGTTTTATCTTGTTTGATCTTGAAAGGCCTAGAGTTAAAGGTTGATTCGACACCATTTGTTCAAACGTGTTTGAATAACATTTCTTCACGCGTGAAGTATTTGTTTTAATTTATAGTTTTGCATTCTATGCAGACTTGAATTGTATTTAGTCGGTCCAGGTGAATTTACTGAGATGGCTTCATTCCGTTTTGGGACCACGACCAGCCCATGCAGGACCTCCTCCACGACCATCCCACAACAGCCGGAGGAGAATGGTAAAACTGAGTTAAGCTGTGTTTGACATTTCATGTAGTGTTTACTTCCTAACAATGTCTTTTGTGCTCCTTTCTTTAGACATAAAGGATACCTGGGACCCTGAAAGACTGGTGCAGTGTCCATACGACAAGAATCACCAGATTAGAGTGGCTCGATTTCCATATCATATCATCAAGTGCAGAAAGGTGAGTAAAGATACTTTAGCCAAAGTAATGCATTTTGATGTCTAATGCAAAATGTTAGGTTTGATTAAAATGAGTCCTCTGACAGGCGGTTTGTTGGTATTTGGGAAATAAAATCTGTAGCCGGTGTCTGTACAGTATCTGCTCGGGTGCAAGATCGGCTCGGGGTCCTTCGACTGCCGATGACGTCAAAGTACGGCAAACCCACTCGGACAAAATACACTACACATCTATACTGTTGGAAAGAATTTAGCAGTTTCGTTATTAAAATAATGTTTCTTAAGACGTAAGTTTGTGTTTATAATAGTATTTGTAAAATAAAACACTATATTTGATTCATGTTGAACTCCTCTTTGAGCACATCCCTTGAAGGATCATAGGTATTAGCAACACCTGTGAAATTGTATTTGCAGGAAAGAAGTGTGTCCCGTTTATTGAAGTATTTGTGTTGAGTTTTTGACGTCTTGTCCATGCGTAGTTCAGTTACGCTCATAGCTGCTAGCCAAAACTCTGGAGTTAAAAGTTTTCTGGCTTTACTAAAATACCTGTCTGTACTTATTTGATTGATGGTAGTTTTACTTTCTATTAGACTCCAAATGTAATCATTTGCCACGTTTCTAATTCATAATTTGTAATAATGTAATCGGCGATATTAGCATTAGCATTCCTATGGGTTTTTCCATGTATATTAGCATTGCGCTAACCACTCGCTGCCAAATTGCAGCCTTTGCCATTAGAAAATCTCCTTTTGTCACATCACAATTTAATTGCACATGCAGTTAATCGTTCAGCCCTAATATACTTGCAGCTCTATGCTAAAAGTGTATTTTCAAAGAGGTAATGATGGATTTCTTTGTAAAAGTTGTCCATCTTTCCAATAGAAAAAATTTGCCTGGACCAACGTCACGTGATAACAACGTTACGTGATTACGTAATTCCGTAAGGTTCATGTTCAGCCAATCAACTACTTAGACGTCATCGGCAGTCGACGGACCCGAGCCGATCTTGCACCCGAGCAGATACTGTACCGACACCGGTGTCTGTACAGGATCTGCTCGGGTGCAGGATCGGCTCGGGGTCCTTCGACTGCCGATGACGTCACATTACTGTAAATCTACTCGGCTTTCACACACACGTTTTGGAAAGACATCAGCAGTTTTGTTAATGAATTCTTGTTTGTTGACACCTAAATGTTTTCTTTATAATTGTATTTTGTTAATAAAACACCATATTATCTTTGTTTTGTAAAGAATGTGAAACTGCATTAAACACATCGGACTGACACAAAATAGAACAGTTCTTATATGTGAAGCCATGTCTATTAATGTGGAGTTCGTCGGTATATTTCCTTAAGCCTGATCTATGCTTCTCCGTCTGCGTCAGTGCGGAGACACGCAACGCCATTATCCGTCCCTGTGTAGGGCTCCGGCAGGCACGCAAGTACGTACGGAGTCGAGCTCTCTTTTTTTTAAACATCCGTCAAACGAGACGGATTACGCAAGCTTGTGATTGGTCAGGACGCCGCTGTTTACAGCTCCGCCATTGCACCCTCAAAAACGTAAAGAGAGCCGAGGATAACTAGAGGCAGACACGGAGAAGCTTGAAGAATGCCTCGCGAAAAAACTCTAAAAATATGAACGTTTAATTCTCCCGTGACTGGAGGAGTGAAAAGATGCGCAGCAAGCGTTTAATTTGTGGACGGAAATGACAGGAAACGTGGGTTTAGAAGTGGCGAGCGCATGAAGTGGAGGAGAATGAGAGACAAATATGTCCGTGTTAAAAGTCTCTTATATACACAAAAAACACAATATAATCACACTATCTTGGACCGATACATGACAGGATACCACAGAACAGCGCTACGCCCTCTGTTGTCCTGCAGGGCAATTGCTTTGCAACACTCTCCAGGAGACGAAGTATGAAAGCAAAACGCTTCCGTCAATCCGTGCGTGTCTGTCCCTTGAGGAGCTGACGGAGAAGCATAAACCAGGCTTTAGTTATCTAAACACATTCTTTGATTCAAAATATTGCTTGGTGTCTTTCATTAAAGTTCTTATATTTTATTTTGCCCCATTTTATCAACATCAAGAGCTTTTGAGGGTCACCGTTTATCATTTGCTTATATTTTACATTTCCTTTAGAAATTCAAACATATTTTCTCCAAAAAGAGTTGATTTTTGCATTACAGGACTACAACCGCTACGACTACGACCGCAAATTTGTTCTGACCAATCAAAATCATAACGTAACTTCCATAAGCTTCATGTTCAGCCAATCAGCTACTTTGACGTCATCGGCAGTCGAAGGACCCCGAGCCGATCCTGTACCGGCACCAGATCAAACTCTTGAAGCTGCACAATATTAAACAAAACTGCTAATACACACACTATCAATAACTAAATGCAGTAATTTTCAACTAATAACGAACAACACTGCTGACCTGTCAGTCTTGACAATTATGCTCAAGCTCAAGTTTTAGCAAGTCCAGGTTTTGTTTGTAGAGATCTTTTTAGTGCTTTATTGGATTTGTATTGTGCTCGGACCTGAGTGCATGCTTCCATCATGTGAAAACTTGATTTGCATTTTTTGACTTCAGATTTACTGTCATTAGCCATATAAACCTTAGAAACTTTAGAGCTTCATCTTTTAAAGTGGAGTAATTGTGATGTGACTTATCATGCAGCTCTAGTAATTATTTGAAACTGTTCACAAGTGGTCACAAGTAAGTGAGGTGGCTGCATTATGTCTGACCATTTAACTTTTTTCTTTTTCCCCTTTCCCTGAAGAACCACCCCAAATTGGCAAAGGAGCTGAAAACGTGCCCATTCAATGCACGCCACCTGCTCCCAAAACACGAGTTGGCGGCCCACATGGAAACCTGTGAGAACCGAGTGTCGGTGTTTACTGAAAGTGGTGAGATGGTGTAATTGTGCGAATATATATATTGTTGTTTATACTGTTTTTTATTTATTTATTGGAAACTTGATGCTTTTTTTATATATATATATTCCTCCAGACATGAACGACGAATGCAGCTGGAAGGTGCCGGTGAGCACCTGGGTGAACCCGAACATGACTGAGGACTGGGATACTGGTACTATAACAGCTGGTTTTTACTAGGGGTGTAATGGTTTACGGGTTTTTTTTTTTCAGTTAAATAATGAACTTTTTTATTTGTGTGATTAAGTGCTGCAGATAAAAGTTCCTCGGCGAGTTTCCGCATGGTCACTGTAATGAGTGACGCATGATGGCAGCACGCACCCGATCTCCGTTTAAAACATGTGATCTGCAAATCCTGATCCACGCCTTTCAGAGCGGATCAAACCAGCTGACTGTCGCTGCCATTGGAGCCCATAGAGATGTTGAACGAAGCGTTGCGTCCCCCCCCCCACCAACACACACACACACACACTGCGCAGGCACGCAGCGACAAAACGTAAACAAACACGGCTGCTGAACTTTCCCCCTGTGACAACTGATGTAAAGTTTTCATCCTACAACAAAAATTGCGGCGGAAGCTCGTTATTTAATACGAGTTTTAAGTAAGAAACTGGGTGGTGTACGGTGTGTTTTTAAGGCTCGCTGCAGAAATAAAAACACAGAGCATCATCAGTCAAACACAACACTACCTGTGAAATAATTAAACATCATGTTAGATCTGCAGCCTGTGATGACACCTGGTTCTGCTCACTAGGAGCCACTTCAGATATTGAATAAATATAATAATGATAGTATACCAAAAATTAATCGCACTGAGCTTTTCAAAACACAGAACCAAATATGAATTTTAACGTACCGTTACACCTCTAGTTTTTACACTACATTCATGATTACCGTGTTTTCCGCACCCTAACCCCCAAATTCCACTACCTCCGCTCTGCTCCGGCACGAACTCCGGAGCAAAATCGGTCCCGTTGTAGTCAATCAGAGCAATTCCACTACTGCGGCCGTGCGCCGCCCTCTGTTTCGGTGTCCGGCAAAAGTAGGATCGATTCTATTTTTGCCGGACGCCGGAGCAACTACGCAGTCAACGGACAGAAATCACAACCGCCCAACAGGAAAGGGAGCAAGCACAACTTCCATTTTTCACAATAAATTGATAAATAAAAGGCGTTTTTTGTTTCATATGCACGGGTTTAACAACTTTTAACAACTATCAATGGCGGCTGAAGTTTAAATGCACAAAAGTAAGCCATAAATACAGTTTCTACTACCAAAGTAATCACACTTTGTTGATCCAAACACTGCTGATCTCTCAACACAAGTGATGGGCAGATTAAACAGTTCATGCCGATGCTTCTCCCACACAACGGGTGTTTGGATCTAACTTCCGCGTTTATTGCTCGGACTGTATCGCAAGATCTCGAAAATCCCGCGCATGCTTGTTTGCCCACCTCAGATCTCCGCACCGGAGCGGAGCCGTTGTTGAGCGGATATAGTATAATTTGAGTTCGGAAGCGAGCGGGGGCGGACCGGAGCGGAGGTAGTGGAATTTGGGGGTAAGGCGCTATTAAAAACCTTTGATCTTCCCCTGAACCGGCAGTGCGCCTTTTATACATCTATTAAGGACGTATGTGAAGCCAGCCACACCTGCGTCCGCAGGAAAACAAAGAGCCGGCCCGTAGCACCGCCCACCCTCACCAAATAAAAGGTGACGCTGAGAAGCTAGAGTTGTTCCGCTCCTATTGCATTAAGAAGATGGCAGACAAAAACATCCAGTCCCCCCAGCACATCACCAACATGGACGAGGTCCCGCTTCGACATCCCGGTGAACCGGACCGTGGAGAAAATGGGGGCCGGCACGGTGTCTGTGAGGACGACCGGCCACGAGAAGTCCTGCTTCACCGTCGTGCTCGCCTGCCAGGCTGATGGCCAGAAGCTGCCGCCGATGGTCATCTTCAAGCGGAAAACTTTAGTTTCCCGCCGGCGTGATCATCAAGGCAAAACCGAAGGGCTGGATGGATGAGGACACGATGGCGGCGTGGCTGCGGGAGGTGTACACCACACTTCCACACTTCTCCAGCCATGCTGATCTGCGACTCCATGTGGGCCCATCTCACAGACGCCGTGAAAATCCAGGTGAAGAGGATGAACACGGAGTGGATCGCTGATGCCTGGGCCAACGTTTCCGTCCAGACTGCTCGAGCTGTCACCAAGGCCGGGATCACAACGGGGGAGCCGAGCAACAACAGTGACATTGACGGCGATGGGCCGGGCTTGCTGGGTTCAGTGCTGGGTCAGTTCATCATGTCAGACACGGAGGATGAGGATTTTGAGGGATTTATGGATGAGGAATGAAAAAAAGAGTGCTTTTTTTCAGTATTGCTGCTGAATAATTTTTATAGCTGCTACGGAGCCTTATGTGCGGACCAAACATTTAACTAGGACGCAGTTTGGCTGTGCGCGCTGTAATCAGGTGAGCCTATGGTGTGGAAAATACGGTACCAGTGACGTAAAGTGGAGTAGATGGTTGGATGTTGATCTCTGTTGGAACTTGTTAAGCTGCAGGTCACCTGATCATAGGAAGTTTCAGTTTGGATAAGTTGTAAAGGATCTCTGCAAAATATTGTCTTGCAGAAGTGGATGATGCTGCAGCCCCATTTGTGTGGGGGGTGAATGCCAAATTAAGCCAAAGGTACGTTAGTTAACCCCTTCGCTTCAGTGCTTATGTATTTGTTACATTTCTTTTTCTTTTGCAGACCGGATGTGAAGCCCACCACCATCGATAATGGGCTCAAACTAAGATCCCCCAGGACCGCCCCGTGGGATAACTAGTTGATTAAGGAGCGTTGCATTTACTTGCATCAACAAATTTCAAAGTAATTTTTTTCTTTTAAATGTTCTTAAAATTTTTTGAGGTGTTTGTAATTGTTTATGAAAAATCCAACACATGTTGATCCATTCTGGCACAGCAGCGGATGAAAAATGTGTGTTGGGTAGAGCTTTACATTTAGGCTCTGTTTAGAGGATTATTTTTAGATAAGTTAACCCGCAAACACTCTAAACATTATTTTAGCACATTAAGTTCTACTTTATCTCTTATGAATATTACTAAAGGCTTGTAACTTGGTCTAAAATGGTTTAATAGAGCTCCAGAAGAGGGAAACGGAATTGGTTTAATATTTGCAAGAAACTACTTGTTTTCTCTCCACTGATGCAATAAACAGTATTTATATTTGCATAAAAATACTGTTTATACATATTTACATTAATGCTTAGGGTGTTTACAGGTTAATAGCTTAATCATTAGTCTAGTCTGTAGTCCTTATTGTAAAGTGTTACCAAATTTTGTTGTGGTCATTGTTCCTCTGTGGTGACTTGATTAAACAAACCAATGTTCTGTCTTCATTTACAAAGGTGTATCTGTTTCAGATGCCAAGTTACAACAGGGCTGTGTGAGAATTCAGTTTCTCCTAAATTAATTAAAAAAATGTTTTCTCTAAACTGGAGAGTGAGGAGCTCATCAAACGGCTCTGTTCCAGACTGTTTTACTGTAAATGCCCCTGTAGGCATTCCCATTGCTGGGGTCAGCAGGGTGTCCAGTAAGCGAGTGTTGCACGTTCAGTTCCAGCTTCGCCAAAGAATTCTGCTGGGTCCTTCAGCAAGACACTTAACCCTCTCTGCCTGCAGGTGGCGCTGCGCAGCCTCCCTTCTCATCACCATCATGGAGAAGCACTGTAATATAAAGTGCTTTGGAGTTCTGACTCTAAAAAAGATGTTGATAATCTAAATACTTTTAATACAGTTTTCATGTTCATTTTAAAACTACCCACACATTTCCAACCTGTTTATTAAAGTAATACATTTTATTTGAACAAAAATGTAAATGCAACACTATAGTTTTAGCTCCTATTTTTCATGAACTCTTACAGAGAAGACCCGTTACACTAAACCAGTGTCGAGGACCACGTCTGCTCTGCTGAGCTAATCCATCCCACCTCGTGTAGCATGTCAAGATGCTGATAGCATACATTTTGCTCAGGTGTGCTTTACTGGCCACTCTTTTAAAGTACAGTTTCACCATAGATGTAACATTGAAGGAGCATGCAGTTGGCATGCTGACTGCAGGAATGTCTACTGGAGCTATGTCCATCAAATTAATGTTCATTCCTGTATAAGCCTCCGCAGACCACATGTAACCACGCCAGCCCAGGACCTCTACATCCAACATGTTCATCTCCATGATGATCTGAGATCAGTTAAACGAACAGCTGCAGCAAAAATCCTCTAGCACAACCAAATAAAGGACACTTTCCAGCATGAGCTGTCTTTTAAGGCCTTCAGGACGGTCTGGTTGAATTCATGGTTCTATCATTTATAGCAAATGGTGGCGGTCCTGAAGCAGCAAAGCTACCCAGAACATCACACCTCCATGTCTGATTAATATTTTATATACTTTTTCCTAGACGTCGTGAAGCTGTTAATGGTAAATGTGAGATGTGTCGTTCTGCTCTAAGGCAGGCTTTGATGCTCTATAAAAGTCTCATAACATTCAGACTTAAATGATGTAATATTTCATGTGCCAGTTAGTTTTCTGTATAATCAACCTGACCACTAGATGGTGATATTCACCAGTGTCTGTCTTAATATTCATCTTAAAAACTGAATTTCTTCACTTTTACTCAAAGCAAAGCTTTCTAACTTTAGCTTGATTTAATCTGATCTTCCAGATTTAACAGATGAAGCCTCCTTCCAGCAGCAGCTGCGTTAGCCTCAGGATGGTGCCTCAGGATGGTTCCAGGACAACCCGGGTGTGAACGCAGCCTGCCGGGACATTGCCAGTGTCTCCTTGTGTTATCCATCCCTCTCTAGTTTCTCCTTTTGTGTCTCATAGCGCCCTCATGAGTCCTTTGTCTGCGTCTCATTTATGTGTCTCTGTGTTCTTCATGTGTCTCCGGTTTGCAGCCCTCCAGATCATTCTCCCAGGTCCTGTGTTCATTCAGTCATCCCCAGCCCCTCCAGGTGGTCCTTCACATTCTGTGTCCTTGTAGCTCCAGCCTTTTTGTCCCCAGCTCCCTCCTGGTTGTCTTCATGTCTCTTAGTCTCCCCACATTAGTTTATATAGGTCTTTTATTTCAGTTGTGTGTGTGTGTGCGCGTGTGTGTGTGTCGTTCCCCAGTCAGGTCTGGTGTCCTCCCCTGCTCCTTTCTGCTCCTCCTCTCAGATATTGTTTTCACCTGTGCCAGTTCCCCACACACCTGCTCCTCATCACCTATCACTCCAGCCCCAGTGTATAAAACCCAGCCTTTGTCTCAGTGTTGTGTTGGTCCATTGTGGTATTCTGTCAGTCTTCTCGTGTCTAGTGTTTTTGATCTCTAGTTCAGTATTTGGAAATTTTTAGATTTTTGGCTCCCAGCCTTTGGATTTATTGTATTATTTTGGTTCATCCTAAATAAAGGATTTTTCTGATCTTCACTCCTGCCTCGTGTCATCCTGGGTATCTGCATTTTGGGTCCTTACCATCTCCTTGCTCGCAACGTGACACGGGCTATTTTTAATTCAGTTATAATTAGAAGTGTTCAGAGTGTCTCGTCTGTAAGGACGTGATACGAAGTGCCTCTAAATCTGGTATTTAGTCTGACTTTTTTGGATTTTACCCAACAGGTTACGTTTTCTGATGTTTGAATTAAATCTGTTCGTTCAGTGTGTGGCATTTCTTTTGTAACTTCCAGGAGGAATTCTCAGAGAACAGAGAGCGCCAATGAAACATTTTTGATTAAAAGTCTTCCTTCCTGGTTTTGAAATCTAACACCAAATCCATATTTGTTCCTCTGAGATTCGCCAGGGCTTCATGATGAAAATAGAAATATGGTTACATTCGGATATCCAAAAACCTAACATCCATTATTTATGGGGGGTTTTTGTTCATTTTTCTCCTCTTAATCTCTGTCAATAGGGGATATTATCAGTTTGACCTGCCTACAACCTGGGCTCAATGATTAAACTTCACCTATAAAAGTGAGTGACCTGATTCTGGTGAACCCCGAAGGAGTTTTAAGCTTCAGTAAAATATGTGCAGTGGAGTGATTAAAGAGAAATTAACAGTTGAAAAAGGTCACGTGAATATTCATCCAATCACGAGAGGTTATCCTGGGTCAACTGGAAGAAGGTTCTTTAGTCTGACGAGACAAACCCTGATCTTTTGGCCATCTGACATTTGACACACTAACCCCCATTGTAAAGCATGGTGGTGGCAACATCATGTTCTGGGGGAAGCATCCTAGCAGCGGTACCTGGGAGGCTTGATAAAAGAGGACCTGACTGTATCCTGGAGGATAACCTGGCCTTAACCCCAACCTGCCTCAGTCGAGAGAAGAACTGTGACCTGGGAGAAAATACTTTTTCCAGTACAAAAATAGCACCAAAGCAGGAGCTACGCTGGAACCATTAAAAATCAACATAGACTGGTACGGTTCTGGAGTAACCAATTCAGTCAGTTAAAAAATGTGTATTCTGGACTTGGAGAGAGATGTTCAGCCCTGATCCCCAAACAGCCCAGCAGAGCTTGAGCGGCTGTAGAATGGAGAAAAATAGAAGTTTTGTCTTCAGTAACAACAGTATTTTGATATTCTTTTTGTTGTGACTCACTCATCTTTCTCTGTTCCAACTCACACCACTATGGTCAGAAGGTTCGGATCATGACCGAAGCAACATCCTCTTGGATACAAGCAGCTAAAATGAGCCTCTTCTGAAAGGATGTCATAAGGTGAGGAGCTCTTTATCAGGAGGAACCAGGATAAAGAATCGCTGCTCCTTCTTGAAAGGAGTTCACTGAGGAGGTTTGGGAGCTGGAGAGTGTTGCTGGGGGGGGGGGAATGTCTGAGCTTCCCTCCTGGACTTAATACCTCTGTGACCCAACCTTGAACATGGAGAGGACTGGTTCAAAGGTCAACTTTACTCACATTTAGGAAGTAGCTTCAGACCACAGGGTTTTGAGTCTTACTTCCTGATGTTTGGACATCCCACATGGGCTAACGGTAACATACCTCTGCCACTGACTGTTTGCTCTTCAATGTCGATGTTTTATCTCCACAAATAACTTGATCCTGGAGGAGTTCTGCTGTGTGGTGGAGTTGCTAAAGCTAAAAGTTAGCTTCTACTCACCAAGACATTCTTTCCTGGACACTAAACCCACAACAGCATTCCCTGTCATCAGCCAAAACGGGTGAATCCATGAATGTTAAGTGACAGTGTGACAAAGATCTGTCAGGCGTTTCTGAACCAAGTGTTTTTCCGTCCCGTTTCTATCAGTAGCTAATGCAAGAAAAAAGGGGTAGTTGACTATTTTTACCTTCAGCCTGCATGTTAATAGCAGAGTGACTGATCATTTTCAAAAATACCGTTAAGTAAAAAATGGTTTCTCTGTGAACCTGCTCGTTATATGGTCTATCTTTGCTCATGTTGTAGAGATAATTTGCAAAGTGGAACAAGTTGATTTGTTCTTCACCTAGAGCACTTTCAGAACTCTCTTTTCAGAAAAACAAACACGCACGCCTTTCAAAATGTATTTTGTTGGTTTATATGGTAAAATAGTTGAAAACAACAAAAGTCAAGGCTCTTTTTGACAGGTTTTATTCAGTAATCATCCATAAAACCACAAACTGGTGTAAAACATACCTAAATGACTGTTGTTCACTGATTTCAGATTATGACCAGAAGTAGCTGAGTTGGTTGGAACAGTAAATTCTGTAAAAGTCTGTCTTCCAAAACATTTTTACAATGTGTGTGTGTGTGTGTGGGGGGGGGGGGGGGGGGGGGGAACAAGCATGAAAAAGGTTTTTTGATTTAGAAGATGAGCTAACCTTTTTGGCTTGTACAGTGAATGAATCGTGTTTGGTGACAGCTTCAACGCCATCCGACTAAACTCGGGTCTGAAATAAAACCCGACGCTCCCGAGCATTCGGCCTCAGCTCACCTTTAAGTTTCTGTGACATGCTGCAGACTGCTGCTCCGACGTGACCCTGAAACCTTGTCTCAGCCCGAACGAGCATTCAGCCAACAAGTCTCAGGCGCGTCTCTGAAACCAAAGCCCCTCGGCTGAGAGCGCTTTATCGATGCGTCTCTCTCGTGTTTTCATCTGGACAGAGTGCGAGGAACAGTCTGGTCTCTGGAGCTGGACTGATCCAAGTCTGCAGCTTGTGATCCTTTCCTATTGCTTGCATTTCTAACAAGGCACGCTGATGTTGCTGTTGCCGTCCAAGGTTACAGCTGAGGTGTGATGATGGCTGTATCATGGAGGGGGTGGCTATCTACACTGTGTCTATCTGTGCATCATCACCAAGGGAGGCTGGGTAATCAGAGAGATGCAGACTGTGCTGTGCTTGTTGTATAAGTTCAATATTTGTAAAGTTAGTAGATCAAGTAACATATATGAACTTCCTGAACCAGGATGAAAATATCCGATTATGTACATTTTAAAAATCTGTGATGAGTGCATGGCAGAAAACAGTGACAACAGGCCTGCAGCTGCACCAAGAGACTAATTATAGAAAATACCTCCTCAACAGTTTTAAACGTAAATAAGGTGCAGAAGTTTAGATTTATTGTGGAGATTAAAGTTCACCTGCAAGCTCAAACATCTACATTCATTCATCTCACTACACCAGGGGAGTCAAACTCATTTCAGCTCAGGGGCCACATTGAGGGAAATCTAGTCCCAAGTGGGCCGGACCGGTAAATTAAAAACGACTTCAGATTGTTTTCTTTGTTTTAATACAATCAATATAAAACTCGGCTGGAGCCTGAGGACAGTGTATCAAAATAGTTCAAGTACAACACCTGAAGTGTACTTGAAAATTTGAAATAAAATTGAAATCAATAAATAAAATAAACATTCCTCAGTGATTCAAAGAGCTTACAGATCACATGGCTAGATTAGTTTCATGCAGCACTTAAAGTATATTTGACTCATTTTACTTTACATCTTTTAGCTTTCACCAGCACATCAACATCAGAAGTCACATCCTGAGTGGCGGCCAACTTCAGGAAGTGATTCAAGTTCTTGTGTGAGCCTTGAGCGCAGCTTTGTTTTATTTATACTCATTACAGAGAAAACTTGCTCACAAAGATACGTTTATTTTCACTCTACACTGTAAAGTATGAAAATAAAGTTTACACAACCATCTCGCGGGCCGGACTTAACCCGCTTGCGGGCCGGATCCGGCCCGCGGGCCGCATGTTTGACACCCCTTTTACTAAATGGCACTGAAAGTATAGCATGATCGACTTTTTTCCCCACAGATTCACCTCTGCTGGAGGTTTCTCTTCGCTTCATAAACATGATTAATTTTATCTTTCTCATCAGTTTGACCAAACTACCTTGTCAGGATAAATCAAGTTTTTTGGGATCATCCAGAAAAACCCAGGAAGCACCAAGACTCCAGCCTACCAGGAAGTGAAAGCTGCAGGAACAATCTCTCAATGGTGAAGCCAGTTTTACACAATCTGGTGAAAAAGGTTAGAACAAATCAGACAAATATTGAAGTATTTGTCCACAATAACAAGAATTGTGTTTGGAGACGTGAAGGCGAGGCTTTCACGTTATCTTTGGGATTATTTTTACGCTCTCTGTGTGTCACCAACCCCCAGGTGATCTCTCATCGCCACAATTCTACAAGCATCGCGAGGTGTGCATTGGTGTGATGCCTCACATGCATGCATTCGTGTGATCGGTGTGTGTTACATGAGAGCAGACTGGGAGGTACATGGCCTTCTAAAAAGAGACCAGCACATAACTGGAGGGAGGGTGTGAGGGTGTGTGTGTGTGTGTGTCTTACCAGTATATTCTGATCTGTTGGCTAAAGAAGAAGCTGTCCTGGCTTACAGGCAATTAGCACAGTACAATACTCTGCCCTGGTGTCCATGTTCATACCTAAAAACAACCCTCAGAGCTTTCTACTCATTCAAGACAACAAGATTTGAAATTCTGCTTTTATTTCAAGTTTGGCGGTTTTCTTTTAGTAAGTAAAAATAACAGTCGCACAGCAAAAAAGTCCCATAGATGGATACAGTTCACCTGACAGGTTTAGCAGTTATCTACAGACAGGACCGGCGCGCGAGACTGAGCTGGATGATACAGTGTGTTAGCGGCTCAGTGCCGATTCATGAAACATGAACGATACCGCTGAATACACACCTTCACTATCCCCAAACCACGGAGGTGGCAGCAGGTGGATTCTGACCCACGTGATGAAGAATGGATCAGTTTGTTAAACTGTTTGTTGCTTTTAACAGCTGAACTAGAATAATGAGTCATTCACCGACCGAGCTGCGGGAGAAAAAGTCACATTGTGGGTGAGAAGAACACTCTTCCCTAATGTTGTTGAATGTAAACAGTCCCAGCGAGGTCCACGAGAGGGTCTCTCCAAAGCCTTCTCCTCATTACAGTCTCCCCAAAAGGTCACCAGCGTAAGCACGCCGGAGCCACACGTGATCCAGAGTTCCGGAAGACGTTTCCTTTTAAATCACAGCTTGGCTTCACTTCAATGTCTGGAGTTTGAGTACTCGGCCTGTTATCTCCGAGTAAGCTCCAATTTTATTTTATTTTTTCACAGATGCTCCACTTTGCAGATCCGCCTCCACACTATGACGTGTTCATTAAGATCTTTTCCACAATCAGAGGCGGAGGAACGAGATCCTCCAGTTTCAGGCAGATGAGGCGCTGCAGGCCCTGCGTGCACAGAGTCCTGAGCTCGGGCAGCTTCCCGAGGAGCCTGGACAGGTAGTTGGGCTGAGCGCACGCCACGCTACACGTGGACACGTGGTCTTTGAGGCAGGCGATGAGCTGGTTCTGAAAGTCCTCCACGTGTTTTGGGTCCTTGAGACCGTGTCGATCTGCAGAAACCAAAAGACAAATAGAAATGTGTCTATTTTAAGACTACGGTCTTCTACACATGAACTCCACTTGGTCTACTTTGATGTCTAGTATCTTCCTCCATGAGACCCTGTTAGCAACACACCTGCTGACTTACCCATGTTGCTGTGCAACGACTGTAATGAAACCTGAAGAAGATTCCACGCAGCAGCCGATAAAGTGCATGTGAAGGACAGTGTGTTAAACCTGATACGAATGAAGGCCTCACCGGTGATCATGACCAGAGCTGTGAGGCAGGCGAAGGAGTAGTCGCTCAGCTTCATGCGACGAAGACTCTGAGAGAACTCCAAGATGGAGTCGATCCATTCTCCAAAGCCTCGAACGCACTGTGATTTATGAAGAACAGTCCCATCGCAGAAGATCAGCTTCTTCATCACGGGATCGGACCTTCACAAGAGAAATGAAATTTGTTGGTTTCAGCGGTTGGAAAATTGTCTAAATCTACTAAACGAATGAAAATAAAATAAAAAAAATTTAATCACCGATATGCAAGACGCAGGATGAAGAGTTCAACTAACGCCGACTCCAGGAGCAGCTCCTGGTCCTCAGAGGAGAAGTCAGAGAAGCTGGGAATGTCCTTTGCCCACTTCCGTATGACCTCCAAGGAGGTTGTGAGGAGGTTGTAAAACTGTCTGACGTCTCTGGCATCTTCCTTCTGATCCAGCCTGTATTCATCCTCAGCATACTGGAGCAACAGAAGGAAACACGAGTCTCGTGTCGGCTTCACTTGGATTACACACAAGGATAAAAGGAAATGAGGCAACGGCGTTCCTGCTCACCTGAGAATAATCCAGGGATGAGCTGCCTGGGTTGGACTCAACGTGGGCCCTCACAAGGGAAGTGATCAGGCTGACAGGAGCAGGTGGGATCGTCGCATCTGGAACGGCTTTAGGCTTGGAAGGAAGACGACCTCTTCGTCCTTTCAGGCTGTCTGTCCTCACGACTGCAGAAAGCGTGGTGACAGCAGCTGTTAGTCTAACATCCTCCTGCCTGACACGCCCACACCGAGTCACCATGAAAATAGATTCTGATGATTTCAAATTATGATGCTTTCAAAGACCCGTCTAATGGGTCAAACTGGAAAAATGAGAATATGGTGCAAAGGTTCATGGCCTGGTGGCAGTGGCGTGTCCAGATCTTTTAGAATGGGGTGGCCCAGATGAGGCACTACTTTGTGCATGGGTGACACCAATGGTTATGCTTTATTTTTTTTTTACACCAAGCCTTTTGTGGACAATGAAAATACTATTTAAATGGAATTCAGTGTGGTGACACATGGGGTGGCCATTCAGATTCCAAGGGTGGCATGTGCCACCCCAGGCCACTCCCTGGACACGTCCCTGCCTGGTGGCAATAAAAACACAGATTCTCACCAAAGCTTCTTCTGCTCATAAAACCCGAGTAGCTTTCATGCTTCTTTTTTTTCTTTTCTTGCAAAATCACATTAGAAAAGCCAAAATGAACAAGATCATGTCTGGAATGCTAAATCCTTTAGTTTCCAGTGCCTGTTTTTACTAACCAAAAAATTTTTTTCACATTTTTTTCAATAAAAGATAAAACAATTAGTGAGAAACATTGTGTAAAAAGATTTCAGAGGCTCATTCGTGCACTAAAACCACAACTTCATGACCGGCAGAGGATCTAAACAGAGGATGACAACCCTCATGTGTGAACCCTGATGACATCAGGATGAGCTGGGTTTGTGTAAACATACACAAAGTTTCTGTAGCTCAATTTGAAGTTTCCAGGTAAACTAAGTTGCATAAATGGATGACCTGTTCCCACTACAGAGAAGTGCAAATGTCATGTTTTCACGCGACTCACCTTCCTTGACCATGCCCACTGCAAGACACTTCTGAAAACGGCAGAACTGGCATCGATTTCTCCTCTTCTTGTCCACCGGGCAGTCTTTGTTGGCAAGGCAAACATATTTGGAGTTTTTCTGGACTGTACGCTGTAAAATAACAGGAGGATTTGGTGTAAATCTGAAAGGCGAAACGCCCCCAGAAACAAGCATACGTTACGACGCAGCAGTCGCGTCTAGTTACCTTGAAGAACCCTTTGCACCCCTCACAGGTGCGAACCCCGTAGTGCTGACAGGAAGCGTGGTCACCACACACGGCACAGCTGCCCTCGTTTCTACCTTTGAGTCTGAGCGACGAGCTCCCATCCAGCTGCTGAATGCTGCCAAAGCTCCGTGCCTCCTCCATCCCCATGGTGGGATAGGTCAACCCGGATGGGTGAGGATGAGCCACGGAAAAATGTTCCTGCTCTTGCAAAAGCGACTGCCCCAAATGAGACATGTCCTCCGAAGACCCTGAAGGAAACGTGAAAAAAGACTGTCCACAAGCTGCTGAGGTGTCCTCAGACATCCAGAATCCAGCAGGGGGTGAGTACTGTCCAAAGGCTGAATCCCAGTTAGAAACATGCTGACTCTGGTACCCAGGCGTCGAAGGAGACGAGGCTGATGCAGGGCTGCCAAAATAGTCTGACCCACTACCCTCGTCAGGATAACTCAGCATGAAAGGAACTGTGTAACAGCCGTAAACCTGGGGGTCATTCTGGGAGAAGTGGCCCTCCTGGCCTGCAGCGGGGCTGATGTGAGCAGGTGCCGTTGTAAACCGGCATGAATACGCCTCGATATCTCCTGCAGGTGTGTCCACCATGGAGCTGATGCTTGGCAGGGATGGAGCAGAGAGGTGGTCCCGGGGGCTGCTGGGGTCCACAGTCAGCCATGAGATGAAGTCTGAGCCCTGGAGCTCTGGGCTGCTAATGTTCTCACTGAGAGGAGATCCATACTGGTTGTGCACACAAGTCATGGCTGCAAGATCCGCAAGGTTTGACTCCAGGAATGCTTCTTCTAACTTTTAAGCCTATGAAGATAAAAAGGACATCCTTGGAGCTCTCAGAATTGTGCAATATTGACTAAATTTTCCAGTTAATTCAAAATGTGAATGCAGAAAATCTGCATCTTAAATATAAGCAAACATGCATGACGACCCATCCGAGAACCTCCTGGGGGAGCCTCTGGTTTAGGGAGGAGAATCAGCATCATTCAACTCTGAGAAAACCTAGAAAGCCACAGGCTCTTTATAGTATCAGTTTATACCAGTATATATATAGAGAGATGCTGGCAAAGTGCAGCGGGGTTGACTTTAAGGCCACCCTGGTCCCCGAAGGACACTTTTCTGCACGTTTTAGGTTTCTCTGCTCCAGCACACCTGGTGAGGTGGCTGATTGACCTGTCCAGCATGTCCCCAGGACTTGCTGAAGAGGACAATCATCAGGTCTTACTTAAAAATGTAATTTAAAGGTAAAGGGGAAATGCAGAGAAACGCTTTATTTCCTGTTTTAAATGAACATAAACTGCGTTTCAGCAGCTGTAGATAAACCCAGAAGATACTTTTTAGAGAATAAAAGATCAATGTTCTTACCTGTCTGTCCCGAACGAGTGCTTTGAGTAATCCGAACAGTGAGCGCGACCATCAGTGGAGCCCAGCTGGGTGTCTGAGCTCGGTTATAGCCTATCCGAGCCCACCCCACAGTCCCCATGACGCCGAGCAGAGCTTTCCAGCGCGCAGCCAATCACAGCCCGATGACGCACACGGGATTCCGTTGACGCGCGTAGAGCGAAGAACCGCAGCGTTGCCCTCCAACACACGGACCCACGCGCACGGCTCCATCAAACTTCAATAAATCTGAATAAAACACTCCCTGAGCAGATTTTCTTTTTAAACGCCGTCTCTAAACAAATGTTTTATTATACCCACGTTCTGGCTGCTTAGCGCGGAAACAAACAAAAGGGAAAACAGCGCGGGTTCATCGTTTTCAAACAGGAAGTCACTGATATGTGTTTCTATTTTTGTTTTAAAAGGGGAAAAAATAGCCCATGCTGTGTCAAAAGTTTAAAAAAGCCACGTGCTGGTGTTCAGCAAAGACTCAAGGGTGATTTTCATAAAAACTCCGTTTAAAAACCTGAATAACAGAAGAAACCCATTTCCGCATAGCACTGGTGATTGATGCTCATTTAATTCAAAATAAAGTGTACTAATGTGTATTTGTATGCAGTAATCCGCAAACACTGGGCATGAGGGGCGGGGTATGACTTACAGACAGGAAGAACCTTTGATGACGTATGCACACCACCTTGGCACTGGCCCAGGATCAGTCCATCTTTAGCAGCAGGTTACCTCTGAACACGTTTGATTTGAGGTTTTGTTTCAAAGAAGTTTATGTCGAGGTGTTTTCTCTCCAAGTTTATTTTTTCTTCTTTGGAGATGTGAGTCAGGTTCTCCCCACAGGTGTTATCTGATCTGAATGATCAGAGCCTTCCCGTCGCTGTTAACAGATGATGTGACAGCTCTGAGCACCGCTCAGTTACCCTGAAGCCCGTGTCAGAACAATAACATCAGCTGGTCCCTTCTGACATTGCTGCATGTCCAGCATGTGTCAGAAACATGAGATTTTAGTCTCTCTCCTTGTGAAGTGCCGCCACACACTCATTGCTCCGTGCGCCACCTGTTTCTTCTCATGAGCTATTTTTGTGTCGAGAAAATGTTCTGGATTGTGTCTGGAACCTCTGGTTCTACAGTTCAAGCTCTGCGTGAACTCAGTGGAAGGAGGAGGTCCCCCACCACTGACAGGAGTGGCACCTGCTGCTGGAGTCCATCAGCTTCAACGTGCTTCAGAGATGTTGTTCTGCAGACCTCGGTAACATCCGTTGCTTTTTAAAACAGCTGTTGTTTTTATCTCATGTAGAGCCCATCTGACCAGTTTCCTCTGAGCAAAAGCTGACTGTGTGACCCATGCATGCTCTACAGATAGAAGCAAGTCCCCCGAGCTGTCAGTGGGTTTCAAACATCCCATGCCACAACTTCAACATCAAGAACAACCTTCCATTCAAATTTGAGAAAACTGTTGGGTCTCCCAAAAGCTGGAATCATAAGCTGCTTCAACCCAAGTCAACGTGGCAACGCTGTCCACAACACCCTGAAGAGTCTGTCCCGTCAGAGATGTCTTCTTCTCTTGTTCTAGTGCTGTTTGTTGCATGATGAAACTACTGGAGCAGGGTAAACCATCCTGGAAAACCTACAAACTGATACCTGAATCCAACAAACAATAAAATGTAGAAAATTAATTAAAAAAAAAATACAGACACCTTGGATTTCTAGACAACTAACCAGGCAGATTTGCATTTTGATTTGACCTCAGACAGGATCATCTCTGTTTTTGCTCGTTTTTCCACAATAATACTTTTTTGCATGCATGGAAATCTTCCCAAGCCACAAGTGGAGCAGTGGAAGATCCAGGGGGAAGTTCTCCATTGAGATGAAACTGATAGCAAAATGAAGCACATCACGTATGTTTAACAGCAAGACGCCACCGGCTGGAAAACCAAACCAAAAAAAAAAAAATCTAACAGTTGAATTTGGATCCTTCGTCATTTGCATGCAGATGTAAATGAGGCTAAAAGATGCTATCTCCTGCACTTTGCATGTTTTTCCAAACCAAAACGAATTTTACACCTTTTTAAAATCATCATCAGCTGATTTTAGAAAACACCTCAGCCCCCTCCAGTGCTGCTGGTGTTTATTTCCAGAGCGGAACTGAGTGTCTCTATAAGTATTCCAAACATCTGGAAAATAAGTTGGCATATTCGAGGGTTAAACCATCTTGATTCCTGTCCAGTTAAAAGATAATAAAATACTTCACTGATGTGTTATCCCCTCTGTTCTGTTAGTAATTAGTGTCACATAAACAGAGACAAAGGAGCGCCACGGACTACTCGGCTGCTCCTGTTCTGTCCTCCAGCAGTGAGAGATTTGTGAAATGAGGTTCACCCCATCTTTAGTTTAAGGATTAAAAATAACAAGCCTGCTTGTAGGTGATGTAATGAATCCATCACTCCTGTGTCTTCTCACATTCAGGGTTAGCCTCCTCACTCGCTGTCTGTATTAGGACTTCAACTAGCACCTGACACAGATCACGTTCTGCACTCAGAATATCAGCCTCCCCCAACAGGGGAGCTTCAGTGAAAGGTTATGACAAGACGATCAGGTTCAAACATGCCTTTGTGTGTGTGTGTGTGTGTGTGTGTGTGTGTGTGTGTGTGTGTGTGTGTGTGTGTGTGAGTGTGTGTGTGTGTGTGTGTGTGCATGCATGCGTGTGTGTGTGCGTGTGTGTGTGTGTGTGTGTGTGTGTGTGTGTGTGTGTGTGTGTGTGTGTGTGTGCGCGCGCAGATGTTCTGCTACAGAGCAGAATTCATGGTGACATCAGTTACAGCAAGTGGTCCAGGTCCTGAAGCAGCAAAACAGCCCCAAACTATCACACAGCCACCACCATGCCTGACAGTTATAATGACGTTTTAGCATTAGTCTGACTCCAGATGTCTCTCTCACCAGTCCACTGGATTCATCTGTTTGTGTCCACTCATCCAGGTCTGGGTCGCTGGAGCAGCAGCTCCAACAGAGACGCCCAAACTGTCCTCTCTTCACCAGCCTCCACTTTCTCCACCAGTGGGAGCCCAAAGCCATTCCCTGCCAGAACTGGAGATATAATACCTGGAGTGTATCCTGAGTCGACCCGGGGACACCCTGCTGGCGGAACATGTCTGAAATACCTCCCCTGGGAGATATCCAAGGAACGTTCTCACCAAATGCCCAAACAACCTCTGCTGGCTCCTCTTGACATGGAGGAGCAGCGACTCTATGCTGAGTTCTTCACTCTATCTTTAAGGCAGAGCTCGGCCACTTGTATTCATGATCTAGGTGTTTCCCACAGTTCATGGCCAGATGTGAGGATTGGGATGAAGATCAATCTGTTTATTTAGAGCTTTGCTTTCTGGCTTAGCTCCTTTTCACCACCACAGACCAGTTCAACACAGCAGTGGCACTCCCAAGGTGTGGCCAGGGGTGGCCATGTCCACCCCTAGAAAATGGTTGGGCCCCCAGGGAAGACCAGTTTTAATGAATCATATTAATAAACTCAAAAAATTAAATCATCTTCTTTATTTAAGACATGAATCTGAAATCCAATAAAAATGTATACAAATAATCAGTAAAGAATATAATGTTTTTTTTATGTTTCTGCTGTTCACCATTTTAAAAAGTTTATGTTGCCATAGTTTTTGTGAAGACAGCAACAGTTGAATTATCCATCCATCCATTTTTATCCACTTATTCTGAGTCAGGTCGCGGGGGCAGTAGCCTAAGTCAAGAGAGGCCCAGACTTCCCTCTCCCCAGCAACTTGGGCCAGCTCCTCCGGGGGAATCCCAGGGCGTTCCCTACAGGTGAGAGACATAGTCCCTCCACCGTGTCCTGGGTCTACCTTCACGTCTCCTCCCGGTTGGACGTGCCCGGAAAACCTCACCAGGGAGGCGTCCAGGAGGCATCCTGACCAGATGCCCGAGCCACCTCAACTGGCTCCTCTCGATGTGGAGGAGCAGCGGGTCTACTCCGAGCCCCTCCCGGATGACCGAGCTTCTCACCCTATCTCTAAGGGAGAGCCCAGCCACTCTTTGAAAAAAACTCATTTCGGCCGCTTGTATCCGTGATCTCGTTCTTTCGGTCACTACCCAAAGCTCATGACCATAGGTGAGGGTAGGAACGTAGATCGACCGGTAAATCGAGAGCTTCGCCTTCTGACTCAGCTCTCTCTTCACCGCGACAGACCGGTACAACGCCCGCATCACTGCAGATGCAGCACCAATCCGCCTATCGATCTCACGCTCCAGTTTTCCCTCACTCGTGAACAAGACCCCGAGATACTTAAACTCCTCCACTTGGGGCAGGACCTCATCCCTGACCCGGAGAAGGCATTCTACCCTTTTCCGAATCAAGACCATGGTCTCAGATTTAGAGGAGCTGATTCTCATCCCAGCTGCTACACACTCGGCTGCAAACCGCTCCAGCGAAAGCTGAAGATCACGTTCTGATTAAGCCAACAGGACCACATCATCTGCAAAAGCAGAGATCTGATCCTCAGGCCAAAATGGATGCCCTCCACACCTTGGCTGTGCCTAGAAATCCTGTCCATAAAGGTTATGAACAGAATCAGTGACAAAGGGCAGCCTTGGTGGAGTCCAACTCTCACTGGGAACGAGCCCGACTTACTGCCGGCTATGCGGACCAAGCTCTAACACCGGTCATACAGGGACCTAACAGCCCTTATCAGAGGGCCTGGTACCCCATACTCCCGGAGTACCCCCCACAGGGCCCCCCACAGGGCCCCCCAAGGGACGCGGTCAAACGCCTTGTCCAAATCCACAAAGCACATGTAGACTGGCTGGGCAAATTCCCACGCACCCTCCAGGATCCTCCTAAGGGTATAGAGCTGGTCGAGTGTTCCACGGCCAGGACGAAAACCACATTGCTCCTCCTGAATCTGAGGTTCAACAATCCGACGGACCCTCCTC